GACTAGGAATCGAAAACAACAATGTATTTTACACGTCCTGTGTACGTCGCTATTAGTCCAATATCGAACAGGACACGGCGCGACAACCACCGCTCTTTAAACTATTGCTTATTGCAATTTCTAACTTTCAATGTTATTCCCGAATATGATAATACGTTGCTTATACGTGTACTCGTTCTCGGTCAGCCTTAGAACGCCAGCTAAATCACACAAAGTACACAGAATATACAGTTGTCATCTCGTGGTTATAAGCAGAAAACACTGAAACACGCCGTGGTCATGTTAATAACAGTTGAGGCCGCACTGTGAAATTATTTGACGCATTTGATAGTTTCTCTGCACTTTGGAACTAAATAGTCCAAAATGTCTTGGTGTTACTAACACGGATACTATAAACTACCCTTGGTTTGGATCAGCAAGTCTGAGTATCGGGGGGGGGGGGGTAGTAACAATTTCGTCTGGGCAAAAATATGCACATTGCCTCAGTAATGTATTGTATATGGGTGTAGCAGTCCAGTGACGCAGTGGGGATTTGACGTTTTACGCTTAGTTTGGATATAGCTGACGTCATGGGGTATCACACCAGCCAGTGTGATTAATAGTGCCTTGTATTAACTCGCTTGCTTGTATCATCACTGCAAGTAATTCTTTATTTATTTTATAGAGTATCACAATAAACATCACAAAGACATTATTCATTGAGATACTGCTTCATTTTATTACCAACTACAAGATGCACATTGAAAAAAACTATGAAACAATACACGAGTTTGAGTGATTCCAAAGGGAAAGGGAAGGAAAAATCTTAGTTTCTCTGCACCGTCAGATAGACAAACTTTTTTTACCAAGATAGGCAAACTATGATTTTAAATTTAATGCCCTTCGTATAATATTTTACCGCTTCACATAAAATAAACACATGTTTTTGTAGATTAGTTGAAGGTTGACATATGCTTTTTTAATGAATTGGCAATATTCGCTGAATAAACACCTCTTTTGTAAGGATGAGTATTGACATTGTTGACCTCTTTCAAACTTCAAAACGGAAACTCTTCTTGCCACATATATGTATACAGTTTTCTTTTCTGATGTAAGTAACCATCCTTCTCAATTTCATCCCCGGAGAACACATCGTAATGTAGGTTGGAAGAGATCAAATGTATGGGTTAGGTTTAAATTACCCATGATGCAAACTACTAACCAATGTCCGCATCTGCAACATGGTATACATATCTATCGTTATATGCGGTCCCCTGAGTATAAAATTAAAAAAAAAATACATCGAAAGCAACAAATATTTTGATCCCGACAATTAGTCTGTCCACTTGAAGTAGCTTGTGGGTGAACATTTTTGATAATTTATCAAATCACGTGTCAAACTAATTTCTCACGGTGCAATGACATTGTGACGACACAAATTATATCATGTGTAGAATGTGGACCACTATTTCAGCTGGACAATATATTATTCTAATAAGAATTAATGATGTTCGATTGTAACTTCCGGCGAAGTGCTTCTCTGATGTAGATGAGGGAAAGGTGAACGTTATTTAATTGTTTAAGTGATACCGAACAACGGTATAAACAAACCGCTGTACCCCTAGTACTCTACATCTACATTTCTGTTACAGACCCATGACGAATTTTTAAACTTATAGAAAATAATGTTTGTCTTGTCTGGATCATTTACAAATATTGCAAAACCCCGAAACTCCATGATTAATGGCATTACGTTGATCGGTTTGATGACGTCATAATAATCGTCCGCGAGATTTCGAGTGTTAAACGTTTTCAGTTATCACACCGACATGACCCTTCATGTTGTCACGTGTTTGTTTCACTACTACTAATTGGCAATTAATTCATATATATCGTTTCAACGTTATTCGGAACATCCATTCTCTAAAGACAAAAAACAACATTAATACTTCATTAGTGACCCGTAATTTAAAATCATTGTCTTATATATATATAAATAAGATGCTCTCTTTAATTAGAATATAATGATGGAAAACAAAAGATTTCGCGAAGTAAACAATTGCAGTGCAATAGATATAAAAAGAAAGTTTAAACACTAAATACTAAAGTTCCAAACATGTAAGAAATCGTTACATGAATAAGACGACTTGATACTTACTAATTTGACAGATATAACCCTTTTTCTTGCTGCATGTTGCATCGTCGAGCTTAAATCGTGGTTTATTTTTAGGGTGTTGCCTGTGTTGAAGAAACATGTAATTAAATTAGGAAAATATATGACCCAATTAAATAATATTTGTACTTGAACTACTTCACCCCGGCAATTTGTCATTCGTCACCTTGGCATTCGCCCTCGTTTGTAGTTGTTAAAATTACCCAAATAAGACTTTGTTCATTATTTGTTTTATTCCAATATTTAGCTTCGAGTTGTGCATAATTCTGAACACATAATTCCCTGTATGCAAATCGGGAAATGCGGATATTATTTCCAAAATGCAAAAAGAAACGTCTCACCAATGAAAACAATATTTTAATGGTACCTCGACAAAGAAATATTTTTCACTTGTTAAAATGTGATCGGGAGAAGTTTCGTGATTAGTCAGAAGTTAACCAATCAGAGACCTCGTACTGTACGGCAATACAAGCTATATTTGATGTCACCAGATGGAACTAGATTTAACCAAGGAATCTCAGATGCACTATGGTACAAGTAAAAACTAGCCCGCCATTTTTATTGATCCTTGGTCCAGTCTCAAGGCTGCCACTAGAGGCCGCTATGATTTTTAACACACAACGTATAATGTCATCTGGATATGACAATATACTCACCACATTTGACAGCAATGTTGTCCATTGTTGTTATTCGGTTGACGCTTCTCCCAATTTTGACTATCGACTTCTGTGCCATCCTCCCAGATAAAATGACCCTCATCATCTATATCATTACATCCAACCCAGTATCCTCTGCCTATTCTACCAAAATTCAGTTTGGAGTAACTTTTGATATAGCTGTAGCGGTGACAATCGAGAAATTAAAACATTTCAATCGAAACAGTATTTAAATCTCTTGAGCTAGGGTACCTTTATGTTTGTAGCCTGAAATATTAGTGTTTTGAACAATAGACCATCGACGCAAATAACAGCCGAGATCTCGTTGAGAACAATAAACCACGAGACTTGCTTTTGTTTCACAAATATGGTTTCATTGTCCCCATTTGGAGTAGTGCACGAGATGACGTGACAAAAAAACAGTAATATTTGAAGAGCTATCAGCAAGTCTAGGTATTAATGCGACAACACTACGATAAAGACTTTCCGTTTTCGACATTATGGAATTCTTCCGTTTTTATAAATATGTATCATTAAATTGTTCATACATAAGTTGTTGGACACATTACATTGTTTGTAATTTTATTCAGTTATAATTCAAGGCAAATAAAAAGCAAAAATATAGAGAATTGTCAAATCATTTTTTTTAAAACTAGTTTTGTGTAATCGGTGATTATTTATGGGTGCATACTGAATACATTTCGTTATATGGATTCTTAATATATTTCAGGGTTTTCTCCCAAAAACGAAAGAATTTCACAATGTCGAAGACGGAAAGTCGTTATCGCAGTGTTGGACATAAATATTGTAGTCTGGAAGACGTTAGTGTATTTTTACCAACTACTGAAGTTTTACTAAGCCATTCTTTTTGTTAGAAATAAATGTATGATAGTATTATTCACACTTGAATTAGACTACATGCTTTCAGGCAAAGAAATAAAATAATTACACACACACCTGGTAAGAGAAAGTCGTAAGACTTTGGTAGATACAACTGCTAAATTCGATATTTTTTCAGGGTACATGACGTCACAAAACTGTTCAGCATCTTTCCAATTCAATGACGGTTTGCGGAATATCGTAAACAGGTCGTTGTCGACACATACCTCCCCGTCATTAGGTACAAGAGTAGCTGGGGTTGATGGTTCACTTGAGCTACCAATGTCTGCAATTTATGAAATTGACACAATTAATACGAACAATAAATGAGTTAATTACGACATTTTACTAATTAGACAGGACTTCACACGAAAACTTAAGGTTCACCTTAATGCTATGTACACCAACTATACATGAAGAAGTTTGCCAACTGTGGACATATGATAAAACATACTTTATTGTGTTTTGTTATGTTTCTCCGAGTACATCATCGAATCACTTGTACCATCTTGTGGATTACAATATTCATTTATGTAATTATTTTTCACACGTTAGTTCGGAAGCATATCTTTTATTTTGACAACTTACTACAAAATCTCGACAAAATATTTGCAATCGAATAACGCTGTACATCAACTTACGGTTACCGGGACAACAGACAGACACATTCGCGATTGCTGTGTCGTCGGTAG